GTCGCATCACTAAATAAATCACCGTCTTCAGAAGTCTCGAAAATCCAAGCTCAAACAATCATAAAATCATATCCGGATGATAACATAATATTCTCTCCCTATTTTTGATAACAAATGACCAGATATCAAAAATAAATAAATCAATCTGGATGGAGAGTGTCAGATACCAAGAGCTTCACATGCTCTCCCTAGATGTATGAAGGGTCTCAATGAAACACGAGAACGAGAGTAAAATAAATACTCTCCATTCATAAGTAGCCGGTTGATTATGTCGCTAAAAACTGCTCGAATAAGTACCGAAGTAACAATAATAACTCTACGTGAAAAATCTATGCTATGATGGAAAAATGCTGATCTACCCAAACTACGGTGTTGGAACTCCTGAAGTGGTCTTCAATAAATAAAGTCCACATGCTCAAGATACATGGTTCGTCAACCGAATATCAAGAGCGAAAAGTCATAAAAAGTATTCATGAAGCGAAGGTTGCGAAGTAACATTGTTGATCAGACGCCGCTGCGGTGCAAACTTCGCGAATAAAAATATGATGTTCGACTACGATATGGAGGATAACTGGTCCAAAGACACTGATCCAAGGACTGCTGGTAGACAGACCTTGATTAAAGAGCAATCCTCATGGAAAGAATAAAATTATTCCAATATAATCAACAAGAAGTAATCCAATGTGACGATCGAAGCATGAGTAAATATCCAATAATAACCTCTTTCGTCAAGACAATAAATTGAAACTTGTAAAAATTATTCTTCACAAAAGTGCTTCCGATCATGGGTTAGGTTGTGACAAAAGTTGGTGTTAAAATAAAATAATTGGTTTTTAAAAAAAAAATAAATAAATTGGGTTTAATAAAAAAAATAAAAGGCTATGGTATTTGTTGGATTTTAGCAAAAAATTTGGTGTTAAAAAAATAAATGAGTGTTAATTAAAAAAATAAAGGTTTAAAGGAGATGAGAGGGGTTGATTGAGAGGGGAGGAGGTGGGACATGAGGAGGGAGGGCTGGAGAGGAAGGAGGGTTGCGGGTTGAGAGGGTAAGGGCTGAGGAAGGGATAAGCGAGGATGAGAGGGATCACGAGGGGGGAGGAGCCTGCAGTGAGAGGAGTACTGATGAGGGAGCAGGTCTACCAAGGTGGGGATATTAACCGAAGACTTGAGGTCTCCGGGTGAGAATGGTAGATATTGATCGAAGACTGAAGTCTCCGGGTTGAGAAGAGTAGACTGCATTGAAGGTAAGACGGGTTGAAGTGCTACCAAGGACTAGAGGTATTCGGTATGCAAGGGTCTCCAGAGAGGCCGCTCAACCGAGGAGACAACAGACTTCTGTAAAGCTTTTAGCTCCTCGGGTAGGGCAATTTTTTTGTCAGTTTTTGGTCCTTGGTATTGAGCTCCGAGGATGAGAGGGCTGACGACGAAAAGAGCCTTTTTTTCATGAAATTTTGATACCATAGAGGCCATAACTTCGTGTTTAACAAATGGAATCTTTCCTAAAGCATATGGGGACAAAATGGAGTGTTGGGAAGGGTAAAAGGTGGCAGAAAGTAGGAGAGAGAAAAGCAAAAGGTGACGGGACAAGGCATGGGTCAAAGGTAAAATGTTGAGTGTACATGGAACAAAAGGTGGGGAATAAGTCACATGGATGTCAGGAATGCATGAGAATGTATGACATGAGGAGTAAAGGACATGAGCTTTTTCAAAACACCTTTATAACGTCCAAGATATTCTAAAAAGATCTATCAGCAACATTTGAAGAACAAAAAGAGCTTCATACCTTTTTATGATTTCTCATATGCAGATTGATGAACTCCGCTGATATAGTATTCAAAAAGAAATCTTCTCCAATCTCTTCAACAAAACCCAAGATATTGTGTCTATTTCTAGTACATAAATAAAATGTCTGGAACACAAATTCTTCAACTACATCAACTACATCCATAACATACCCATGCTCCATGTGTTAGAAATACAACTTAAAATTACCATTATTGTATGACTTGTCTTCACTTTAACCAATTCTATCAACCACTTCTTAATTAATTAATGTCAGTAAATGTAAATATATACCGGAGTCTGTAACAAATGGTCTAATATATGTTTTTTGTTTATCTTTTGTTTTGCCAAGACCCTCTCATACCAAAAAAAACAAAATTGTTCATATTTTTATAAACGATAGATGGAATTTATCTGAATTTTTCTAAAATGAAATTGTTTTTTATATAAATTCCACCGTTTTATATGAGAAAAATGCATAATTACTACAAATACGAATTCCGATTTCTCATTAACTTTTTGTATTGCTTCTTCTATGGACACGATCTTCATTTTTACTTCTGCGGACTTGTGAGATCGCAGAGAAGCTTTTGCAGACTCATTCTTCGTATGAGGAGTGAAAAGTGCAAATATGTAATTTAGGCCTTTAAATATATGAGAAATTTTGTATATACCCTTATTAAACAAAAAATATAATATTTTCCCAACCTAAATCTAAATATCATATTTACCCTTAATAAACTTTCATAATATCATATTTACGCAAATTCTTATTTTTAATATTTTAAAAATATTTTATAACCTTTTTCATTTATTATTTTTATAAATTTACCATTATACCCCCTTTTCAACCTTACAACCAACACATTTCAAATAACATAGACTTTAAAGTGTTCGTCTTCTTCCACTCTCCTTCCTATGGTTGCCCTTCCATTGATGCTCACATTAACTTTCTTCTTTATTTATCTTTTAAAATGCATACATCCATAGAAACACTAATCTCCTCATGTAATACTTTCTAAATTGATCTTCATTACCTTAAGCATTTTTTTAACTGATCACGTAAACACCAATCAATTGTTTGCTGCCTTCCCGGTGGAACTCCAAGTAATTGTTGCCACCGCCTTCTTTGTTATTGTCGCCTTCTTGTTTTTCACCTACGTTGGTGTCGCCGATCACCATTGCTTGATGACCCACCTTCTGTTCCCCCTGCTGCTATTCCTGACAAACACAAGGCCGTTTCTCTTCTTTTCAGTTTTCTCTCGTCACTCTTAATTGCAACCATGATTCGGTAATTGAGTTCTCTTGTCCTTCGTAATAGTAATTTATAATGAAAGTTGTGCCGCCTTACTAGTACTATCTTACTTATTATCCATCTCACTAAGGTTGTCAAAATTGCGATCTTGATCTAGGATCGTACGATCCTACGATCCTAGGTTTGAAAAACGAGTCGGATCGTATACAAATCGTAGGATCCTAGAATCGAGATCCGATCCGATCCTACCTTCCCTTGATTTTTTTTGAAGAAAATGAGTTTACCACTTTTTTTTTTTTTTTTTAAATTTTTTTATCATTTATCAGTTTACCGTTTATCCGTGAGTTGTGACTATTGTTTTAAAATTTTTATAGTTTTGAACGGAAAACTGAATGTTTGAGATGTTTTTCATGTTTTAAAATTATAAGTTAAAATTATGTTTTTATTTTGTGGGATCTTAGGATCCCGATCCCGATCTTGCAGACCTAAAATTGATCCTCCTTAAGATCCCGATCTTGACAACCTTTTATCTCAGATACTAATTGCTATTTGTTTGACATGCAATTATGCATCATCTATATAGTGATATCCTTTGATGATGGGGTGCCATCTCTCCTTACATCATTACCTATGCAGTTATCGCGATCAAAATTTCAATAGCGGTCACATGCCGCTATTTGAAATCGCGGTTATCGCGGTGGTATAGCGGTGATATAGCGGTTTTTTAATATTACATATAATTTATAATTTTATGTCATTTTTATAAAGAATTTATATATTTGAGTATCAATACTATAAGTCTATATAGAATTAATATCATCAAACCAAAAAAGTCATATAAAAACATAACACAATATTCTATTATAGTAATATGGAAACTAGGTAGTGTCAAAGTGTCAAATAGAGTTTAATTGCATTGCACGGGTTCAATCTCGTATTAGTAGGCCGTGGTTGGTTTAAGGAGTTAAGTCCCAAGTTGTAGCCTCAAATGTCTGGGTTGATTTAGAAAAAGCATTAGTGGAGTCCGACCATAGCAGCTCAAGTCGTCGTGGGTACAGAAAGAGATGAGAAAGAGACTTGTCGGTAGATGTAGTTGCTTTGAATGCTTTTAATTATGGTAGTTGTTGGGGCTTTTTAAAATGAAAGTGTAGTGAGATCATTAAAAATAGTTTTTCATTGACAAAGTAACCAAATGGCCCAAAATGTGAGCGAAATGGAATAGCGCCTGTAGCGCCGCTATAGCGGTAATTGAAATAGCGGTGAATAGCGCCGCTAATAGCGGTACCGCTAAATGAAAACGCTAAACTGAAAATAGCGGTTCTCGACCTCCGCAAAACGCTATAGCGCCACTGTAGCACCGCTATAGCGCGCAATTGATAGCTTAGATCATTACATCATCAAGGTATAAGTCGATCAAGTTAGGGTACAACATCTTTGCGTAAGATTTTATATATATATATATATATATATATATATATATATATATATATATATATATATATATATAAAATCTTACGCAAAGACGTTGTACCCTATATATATATATAAAATCTTACGCAAAGACGTTGTACCCTATATATATATATATATATATATATATATATATATATTAAACTAATGTAAGATTTTGTATATACAAACAATATAAAAGGGTATAATAGTGAATTTTATAAAATAAAGAGTTAAACAATTTTAAAATGTTTAAAAATGTGAAAAATAAGATTTTGGATAAATATAATATTTTGAATGTTAAAAAAATAAATATGATATTTTAATTTAAACCAAATAAATATGATATTATGATATTCATATACCAAATTCACAGCCAAGCATATCCTCATATAAGCCCCTTTTAAGAGTCCATGATTATTTTAATTTTCCTTTTATACTTGGAAAATTCTCATAAAAAAATCAATTTAAAGTTCTAAGTATTTAAATAAAAAGAAAAGAAATACACTTTATAGGGCTGTTGCTTTTCCTCCCGCCACGGCTCGAAGTTAACACTGAGCCATGCCCCAATCTTGGTCGGCAATATGCATTCCAGGTTAGGGTTTCTGTTGACATCCAGTTTCAGAAGGAAATCTCCACTTTCTACTTTCTTCATACACGATACTTCCTCAACAAGTGTCCTGCTTGATTCTTCTCGGGTATTATATCGGCGTTCTTCTAACATTAACAATGGAACTCCCTTTTCCCGGTTCCTTTCATCGATTTTGCACTATGGAGGGGCACGTTATCTTAGCAGCTACGCAGTTGATCAGTTCTCGGACGATGAGTACGAATGCGATTACGAGAATAACCCGGTACTTTTTCTACTCTTTCGTGTTGAATCATATGATAGTATACACAGTATTCATTACATTTCATAAAAGGGCTGCACTTCTGTTTTTTATTTGGATTTTGTTGCATACAAATACAAGTATCAACATCAAAATCTCCCTATTTGCAAATTGTTATTAACCAATTTGATGCCATTTTCTAATTAACTTATTGCATTTAAATCAATTTCAAAGTTGCATATAATCCCAGGACCCTGTGCAGCTCATTTGGTTGTGTTTCCCTGGATTGTTATTTAACATCCTTCCATTCGTGTTCTAGCATCAGTTCAGCAACCTGATTTAAAGTTTGAAATTGGAATTCACAAACTTGTTCTTGTAGGCATCATCATCAGTGGCAAATATTGATGAATGGAAATGGAAACTTAGCATGCTTTTACATAGCAAAACAGAGCAAGAGATCATAACCAGAGACAAAAGAGACAAGAGAGACTATGAACAAATATCTAACCTCGCCAAGAAAATGGGCCTTTACTGGTAGTTGACTTGATATCTACATCCTTTTGTCTCTTTCCCATTCAAATCATATTCATGAATCTTGATTATGCACATATATTTTGTTTTCCCTCCTCTCACACTAATCATCACATGTTCAGTGAAATATATGGAAAAGTAGTGGTTGCAAGCAAGGTCCCTCTTCCCAACTATCGCCCAGACCTTGATGATAAACGCCCCCAAAGAGAGGTAAGACTTTTTCCAGTTTCTTTCAGGAAATTCTCTTACATGAAACTGGTGATGGGTATTTTAGTCTTTATGGTCCACTGAATGTAGGTAGTTATCCCATTAAGCTTGCAAAGAAGAGTAGAAGGTTTACTCCAAGAACATCTTGACCGAATGCAATTGAATTCTGGAGATGTCGCGAGTGAATCTAGTCATCAGGCTGAGCTGGCAAACAGGGGTAGTAATGGTAATCCAGACTCATTAGTAGATGGATCTCTTATGGAAAAGGTTCTTCAAAGACGTAGTTTACAGATGAGAAATATGCAAAGATCTTGGGAGGTATATATTGAAAATAACTTCATAACTTCATAACAAATCTTGAATTATCAATACATTTTCAAGTTTTTGAACAAAATAAAACACAATTTGAATCTTGAATTGTTATTGTATCTTCAGGAGTCACCAGAAGGAAAGAAAATGATACAAGCTCGTATGTCTCTTCCTGCATTTAAAGAGAAAGAAAGACTCCTTCAAGCAATTGCACAGAATCAAGTTATTATCATATCTGGAGAGACTGGATGTGGGAAAACCACTCAACTTCCACAATACATATTGGAATCTGAGATAGAATCTGGTCGTGGGGCATTCTGTAACATACTGTGTACACAACCACGGAGAATCTCTGCCATGGCTGTTGCAGAAAGAGTTTCTTCTGAAAGGGGAGAGCCTCTTGGTGAATCAGTAAGGCTTTTCTTTAATCTTTACTCTTCACTTACTTTTTATTGCTTAAAGAAAGGCTTTATAAGCAATAGTTTTTGTCTTTTTGACAGGTTGGCTATAAAGTTCGATTAGAGGGTATGAAAGGAAAAAACACTCATCTTCTTTTTTGTACAAGTGGTATTTTGCTAAGAAGGTTGCTCAGTGACCACAACTTGCATGGTGTAACACATGTTTTTGTTGATGAAATTCATGAACGAGGCATGAATGAAGGTCAGTTTTATAATATGTTAACTTTATTTGAGCTTTTATGATTGATTTCATATTTTCATTTCATTATATTTTAATCATATGTTCTTAATTTTCAGACTTCTTATTGATTGTATTGAAGGACCTTCTCCCACGTCGTAGGGATTTGAGATTGATACTCATGAGTGCTACATTGAATGCTGAGCTTTTTTCCAATTATTTTCAAGAAGCACCAATGATTCATATTCCTGTAAGTGCTTTTGTTATCTTGTTATGTTCTGCAATAATCTAATTTCATGTGTTTGAATATAGGGTTTCACTCACCCAGTGAGGGCACATTTCTTAGAAGATATACTGGAGATAACTGGTTATAAATTAACTTCTTTCAACCAAATTGATGATTATGGTCAAGAAAAGTTATGGAAAACACAAAGACAATTAGTCCCACGCAAAAGGAAAAACCAAATTACATCACTTGTTGAGGTAATCTTGATCTGGATTCTGGTCAAATTAAGTCAACTCTAATATAACTTTTGATTCTAAAAGACTAAAACAAGTTTAAATTTTGATGTGAATATATGTTAGGATGCATTGACTCAATCAAACTTTGAGAATTATAGCTCAAAAGCTCGTGATTCTCTATCTTGTTGGAATCCAGATAACATTGGATTCAATCTTATTGAAGCAGTTTTATGTCATATTTCACGTAAAGAAAGACAAGGTGCTGTTTTAGTATTTATGACAGGGTGGGATGATATTAGTTGTTTGAAAAGTCAACTCAAAGCTCATCCTTTACTTGGAGATCCCAATAGAGTTCAACTGCTGACATGTCATGGTTCCATGGCAACATCCGAACAAGTACTACTTCAATTTTTTAACCTGATCAATCAAATTAATGTATTTGATAACTTTTAATTTTTATATTTTTTTGATTATGCAGAAACTTATATTTGAAAAACCACCTCCAAATGTGCGTAAAATAGTACTTGCTACAAATATGGCAGAAGCAAGTATTACAATTAATGATGTGGTTTTTGTGGTTGATTGTGGAAAAGCTAAAGAGACTACTTATGATGCTCTTAACAACACTCCTTGTTTGTTGCCTTCATGGATATCACAAGCATCTGCTCGCCAAGTAAGTTACCATTTTACCCTTTGACTTTGTTGGTCAAGGTAGTTGACTAATTTCTATGTTGCTTTCTTTTTTTGTTGGTTTAGAGAAGGGGTAGGGCAGGGCGTGTGCAACCAGGGGAATGTTTCCACCTTTACCCTCGATGTGTTTATGATGCTTTTTCTGAATATCAACTACCTGAGCTTTTAAGAACTCCTTTAAATTCTCTTTGTTTGCAAATAAAAAGTTTGGAAGTTGGAAGTATTGGAGAGTTTTTATCAGCTGCTTTGCAGCCTCCAGAGCCATTAGCTGTAAGTGTTAACTGTTCTTGATGAATTGAATCTTAATGAATGATTTGAATTGCTAAATGCTATATAACTTTAATTTATTCTAGGTCCAAAATGCTGTGGATTTTTTGAAGATGATTGGAGCATTAGATGAAAATGAAAATCTTACTCATCTTGGTTAGTTTATAACTTTATATTAATATATTTATGAAAATTTATTTCCTAAGATTATCTTTTCTCATTTTTTAAAAAAAAAAAATATAGGTAAATATCTGGCAATGCTTCCATTGGATCCGAAATTAGGGAAAATGCTGATAATGGGTGCTTTTTTTCGTTGCTTTGATCCTATTCTTACAATTGTTGCTGGACTTAGTGTCAGGGATCCTTTTCTTTTGCCTCAAGAGAAGAAAGACGTGAGTAATCCAAAACTACTCTCACACAAGGGCATTTTGGTCTTTTCCTGATATCTTTTGTATGTCTATTTCAGCAAGCTAGTACAGCAAAATCAAGATTTTCTGCAAAGGATTACAGTGATCATATGGCACTTGTGCGTGCATATGAAGGATGGAAAGAAGCTGAAAGAGAAGGATCTGCTTATGAATATTGCTGGAGGAATTTCCTTTCTGCTCAAACACTTCAAGCTATACATTCTTTAAGGAATCAGTTTATCCATATTTTGAAAGATGCTCAATTACTTGAGACTGAATCAGGGATTAACAACAGATTGAGTCATAATCAATCATTGGTTAGAGCCATTATATGCTCAGGCCTCTTTCCTGGCATTGCATCTGTAGTGGTATGTAATGTATGCTTAATGCTTATTTATTTAATTTACAAATTACAAATTACAAATTACAATACAATTGATAGATACATACATGAATCCGTATGTTACTCAATTTTGTTATTTTTTATTTTTAATATGTGCAGCATAGGGAGACATCAATGTCCTTCAAAACTATGGATGATGGCCAAGTCTTACTCTATGCAGTAAGTATTAAAGAAATAGCAATGCAGTTTCATTTATTTGTTTCATATAGCATCTTACTTTCATTTCTTTTTATTACAACAGTATAAGTATAATTTTATTTTTCTTAAAGTAACTTACATTTTTGGTCACTGAATATAGCATGATTTTACAGTTTTGATCCCAAAAAGTTCACTTGCAATTTTGGTTCTTATCTATGGTTTTTGTAATTTTTTGGCCCCTTTTCAAAGTAAAATGACTATATTTTTTGGGTAAAATTTGCAAAAATCAGCTATATTTTGGGACCTAAAATAGTCTTATTACTTAGAACAAGGACGAAAAACATAATAAGAACCTCAAATAAGGACCAATATTGTAAAACAATACGTTTAGGGACCAAAATTGAAAAATTCAGCTATACTTTTGGACTAAAAATAGTCATATTACTTAGAACAAGGACCGAAAACGTTATAAGAACCTCAAATAAGGACCAATAGTGCAAAATAATACATATAGGGACCAAAATTGCAAAAATCAGCTATACTTTGGGACCAAAAGTCATCATATTACTTAGAACAAGGATGAAAAACGTTATAAGAACCTCAAATAAGTACCATGTACCAATATTGCAAAATAGTACATTTAGGGACCAAAATTGCAAAAATCAGCTATACTTGGGGACAAAAATGTAACTTGCTATTTTTCTTATCATATACTTAATGTTCCCAAAAGATAAGCCATTTGTACAAAAAAGTATAATATATTTGGATATCTATAGTATATAATTTATATGATATCTGTTCAGAATTCTGTGAACACACGATACCAGACAATTCCATATCCATGGCTGGTTTTTGGGGAAAAAGTCAAAGTCAACACTGTATTTATCCGGGATTCTACTGGCGTCTCTGATTCCATTTTGATCCTCTTTGGTGGTGGTGTAGTCAATGGCGTTTCGGTAATTTTGATCCTCTTTGGTGTTATTAAATGTGTCTTGCTTTTAGCTTATATCTTTTTTTTTTTTTTTTTTTTTTTTTTTTAATAGCCTGGACACTTGAAAATGCTTGGTGGGTATATTGATTTCTTCATGGATCCTAATTTGGCTGATACCTATGTCATCCTAAAGAAGGAATTCGATCAGCTCCTACAAAACAAGGTCAGTTATTAATATTAACCATTACAATCTTTACAATAAATACATTACATTAATCATTGGACTTATATAAAATTGGTTTATATATATATATATAATATAATCATGTTACGTAGCTTAAAGATCCGGATCTTGACATCCACAAAGAAGGAAAATATCTCATGCTTGCAGTCCAAGAGCTCGTGTCAGGAGACCAATGCGAAGGGAGATTTGTATTCGGGCGCGAAACCAAAAGGGTAAAAGAGTCAAATGACAATGATAGCTTCACAAGAGACGGAGCAAACCCTAAAAGCTTACTCCAAACCTTGTTAATGAGAGCAGGCCACTCGCCTCCGAAATACAAAACAAAGCATTTGAAAACTAATGAATTTAGGGCGTTGGTGGAATTTAAAGGAATGCAATTTGTAGGAAAACCAAAGAAAAACAAACAACTTGCGGAAAGAGATGCGGCTGTTGAGGCGTTAGGGTGGTTGACTCAAACTTCGGGTTTGAAAAAAGATGAAGATGGTGATGATGATTCGCCTCTTGATTTGACTGACAACATGTTGAAGCTTTTGAGTAAACCGAGGAAACCGAAGTCGCGTTAAAATGAGTCTTGTGATTGGATACGGAATTTATAAAGTTTAGAAAAAGGACCACATGGTTTTGCTTTTTTGTGATGTGTTTCGGACCCGATGGGATACATTGGAAAGAGAAAGAGGTTGGGGATATGGTGACTAGTTAGATTTTGTGAAAGCAATTATTTTTAAAGCTTGGAGGGGAAATTGTTATCTTTTATTTAATCTTTTATAAAGATGGCTTGGCCTCATCTTTAGAGTGTAAGTGGCCTTTGACAAATGTAGTTGTATTAAATAATGTTAACATCGAGTATAAGCGTTGTAATTATATTGATAAAAATATATAGTTATTCACTAAAATGACCATTTACTAATCTTTTCTCATTTTCAATAACCACACATTTTAAAGATATACCAAAATGTCATGATATAGTTATTTATTGCAAACTGACTGCAAATAGGTGTTTGTTAAAATGAATGACATCACATCAAGTGTCGTATTGTAGACTAAAAAAGCTTGTATCGTGTTTTGATCAAAAGGAAAAACCATTGTTCGTATTATGTTTTGTTCAAAACGAAGCCTCTAAATATATTATCATCTTCAAATGGTTGAAGTTGTCATATTGTGTGTGTTTTGATGAACCATTTGTTCGTATTGTATCTTTGTTCTAAACCATGCTTGTGAATGATTAAAGTGTGTATATTTGGTCTTAGAAATCAACCACTTCATTTCCATCTCAAGGATCAGAAGTGATCAAACGAAACAATATTGTTGAGAGCATTGGCTCAAACATGCATTCTCGATTTAACCATTTTTGAGAGGGGGTTCATTCATTAGAGTTAATCTTGAAAGACATGGAATCACAACAATTTGCTCCGTCATCTTTGTCGCCACCGTCATTGGAAACTAAAGTGAAATGCTTGGAGGTCAGACAATGCAATATGGTTCATACAACTGCCTTGGACTCCATTTCACACTTTAAACATTTACAAGGCAACATGCACACCACAAATATCCTTTCACAACCTCAGAAGCCAAAGACCTTTAACAATCAGTCATATATGTAGGTTACAAGTCCAGATTACCATTTCGAATGATTTGAGAGAGTTCATGATTTTAGTCGATAGAATTTAAGTTGCCTGATTGTCGCCTCCACCACTAGAGGTACCAATCACATTGATTGAAAAGTACCTATGAACTTAAATGGAAGTTTCATCAAGCTGTTTAATGTTTAATCTTCACTAGGATACCAATATGATGGATGCTCGCCAAGTACTTCAACAATCTCATGCCCTAAACTTGTATCCTTTCCGTTCAGTTTAATTATGCATGATTAGTTTTCTAAGTTGTATTGTGTAACATGTTTTCCTGTTTGGTTTATTTATGGTAAACATATTTTTTTATTAGATTGAAGTCAAACTACAAATCAGTACTACAAACAACATTTTATTTATTTAAATCAAATGTAGGATAATAACCCCATGTTTGGTTACATGTATCCTTACTTGAATAAACATGCTTCGACATATCAACTAATAATAGAGGCCAACAACTTAGACGAGTATGAACTTTTTGGTGGGCACCAACTACATGTTTTAACTTTTCGCTTCTCTCGTTGTGATGGTATACAACCTATTCAAAGGAATGTAGAAAAAGATTCACGTCCTTGATATTTGTCCATTAATGGTGGTCAAATGACCATTACTTCCTCAGGTACCTCCTCTTCAGATGAATGTGGAAAAAGATTCACTACCCCTACGTAGACTTGACAAACATGTCGTGTCATGTCAGATTCGTGTCGTGTCAAACAGACATTAAACGGGTTGAGAGGGCTTGACCCTAAACCGACCCGTTTAATTATCTTATCGTGTCGTGTCAACACATTTATTTTCGTGTCGGGTTGTGGGTTAAGGTTTATGTTGTCTCATCGGGTTGATAATGGTTGGAGGAGTGAGTTTTAAGAATAAGAAGTGACAAGTGTGAAGAGATGGGTCGACACAGTTGTCCAAAAATGTGTATGTAACACCCGAGTTCCAGATTGGATCAATTTAGGGCTTCAAGGAGTCAAGGGAATGGTTTTTGGGTAAACCAAGGCTCACGGTGTGAACCATATAAGGGTCACGCCGTGAGGAGTAATTAAATGAAGATGCTGAATTATGCTAAGCTCACGACGTGAGATACGCTGCAACCCAAGCCCATGATCTTTTAGGATTTCCTTCGTATTTAAACCCCATAAAATTCATTCTAGGGTTCCAAACCAGCCTCCTTCGTCCCTAAGCTCGGTAAAACCCTAACCCTAGCCTCTCATTGTGATTCTTGAGATTTTGGTGGCTTGAAGAGGAAGAGATCATCATGGAAGCATAATTTCAGCTTGGAAGTTTCATTTGCAACCTCTAGCTACACTTCTAGACCATTGTGAGTTACCAAGATCCAAACTTTATGTTTTCTTGTTGCTAGATCTAAGGTTTTATGCATGTTTAGCCATGGTTTAAGAGTTAGAGTGTTGGGATTCCATAAAGTTAGCAACTTTATGGGTCCTTAGGATCCCTTGGTGCTTGTATGTTATGATCTGAGTTTTTGGAGGATGTTTGAATTCATACTTGGGAAATTACCTCCTTTATCTTAATGAATGACCTAGTTTGAGCTCAAGTATTGTATTGGACATACAAGACCTTAAAGCATCAGTTTTTATGATCCTGGGAGTATTAGGAAGCTTCCTAGAAAAGGTGGAGTGATGGCTTATCGTATTAAGAGGTTTTTGGATCAAAATGGCGTACAGACGAATCTTACGACATGAAGAAGATGCATGTCACATCGTGATGATTATAAGACCCGACTATTTTGTCATGTAGTGGCTCACGACGTGAGCCATATATGGTCACGTCGTGAGGGTCTGCCGACTGTTGACTTTTGTTGACCGTTGACTTTGACCAAGTTTGACTTTAGGTCAAACTTGAGGATATTGGGCTATTGATTAAGATTCTATTTGGTTATGGTGTTAGTGGATTCATGGGAGCAAGCAATGCTGAAAAAGGGATCTTATCGCAGTGTTCAAAGCTCTTCAATTCGGGTGAGTTTTGCCTCATTGTACCCGTGGGTCGAAGGCACCAATGCTGACCCACTAGTTTTGGTTATCTGATAGTAGGGGATGCCTTAGGGATTGTATGTAGTCATGTAGGATAGACTAAGGACTCTTGATCTAGGCTTTCTTGCCTGTTCCTCGTTTGGTTGTGGCTCTAGAGTAGGATCACCTGTCCGTTTGTCTATCTCACCTCTGATTATATACGATTAGGTATTCCTTGAATTGTTGGTATATAGGATGTTGCTATGCTGTAGTGATCTGTTAGATCTATATCCTGGTATATAGTATGTTGCTATGCTGTAGTGATCTGTTAGATCTGTATCCTGGTATATAGGATGTTGCTATGCCGTAGTGATCTGTTAGATATGTATCCTGGTATATAGGATGTTTCTATGTTGTAGTGATCTGTTAGATTTGTATCATAGTATATAGGATGTTGCTATGCTGTAGTGATTTGTTAGATCTGTAACTTGGTATATAGGATGTTGCTATGCTGTAGTGATCTGTTAGATATATAACCTGGTATATAGGATGTTGCTATGTAGTAGTGATTTTTAGATCTGTATGTCTACTTGTACTTGTTAGTTATTATGTAGTGGAGTGCCCTAGGGACTGTATGTGCTCATGTAGGATAGCCTAAGAACTCTTTATCTAGGCTTTCTTTCCTGTTCCTCGTTTAGTTGTGGCTCTAGAGTAGGATCATCTGTTCGGGTGGCTATCTCACCTCTAGTGACTTATGGTTATGCATTTCATGAAGGATAGCTGGTAGCGGGACAGTGTGCGGTGTGACGACTAGTAGGAGGTAGTGAGCTGTATACTTGTTGTTTTCTTATATTATGTGCCTACTTGATCCCTGATTGTTTATATGTCGACATATGGTGGTAGTGGGTTGAGGCAGTCCTGCTTTGTGTTGTAGGCCAACAAATCATGGGTATTCCAGCCCGATGGCTGATTGGACCTGTTGCATGTTGGCATTCCAGTCCGAGGACTGATCGGGCTTGGGCATTCCAACCGGAAGGCCGTTATGCATGCTTGTATGTTTATCGTATGGGGTATTTTGGGGGAAACTCACTAAGCTTTGTGCTTACTCAGTTATCTATGTTTTGCAGGTTTTATCAGTGATCGTGGGAAGGCGAAGGCGGGACTGTACACACTCATAAGCAACATTGAGGATTTTGCGTTTTCTATGATACTCTGATTTTTAATAAATGTAATTTGGAATAAACTCTTAATAATGGTTTTATAAATTAGGAAGTTTTACCTTAATAAAAATGAAAAATTTTGGTTTGTGAAAAATGGGACGTTACAGTGTACGATGGATGAGACGATGGTCTCATGGAGGCAAATAGAAAAGTGTTTTCATCGAAAATGAAATAGAGTAAACTAAGAATATTTTTAGTGGTGAGGTCTAAACAATTGTAGCCTCTATGGTCACATGTGAAACTAAGGAAGATACAAGGGGCTAATTTGTGAGGAGTATATATGTGGGGATAACATAAGCACCAAGAGACACGAAGATATGTGTATGGTGGAATTTGGAAAAAAAGTTTAGAGTATGGGGAATTGTTTTGAAGGGTGGTGAAGGGAATGATATTTATGAGGCAGGCAGCTATGTGAAGAGCCTCAACTGAAATGTAGGTGGAAGATGAGCTTGGAATACAAGTGTATAAATGGTGTTGTTAATGGTGCATATTATTATCTTGGGTTTCCCATTTTGTTGGGATGTATATGGAATGAGAAATATATATGAATTTCATTAGTGATACAAATATTGTGGAAGGAGGTGATATCAACTCCCCCAGTTATGTAACACCCGGTTTCAGGTGCGTATTTAAATTCAAGCAAAACTTCATATTTTGCACTGGGACTCGGCGAGTTGGAGGCCCAACTCGTCGAGTATGTTCGACTTCGGATCGGGGGGTTAAGTGACCTACTCGACGAGTCGGGAGACCGACTCGGCGAGTAGGAGCTATCTGGGCAAAACCCTAATATTTAGGGTTTGCACCCTATTTAAACACTTTATCTCGTCCCAAACCAGCCTCCATCACCCCTCCCAACTCAGAGAAGCGCTAGACTGAAACCCAAACCTTGTTTGAGTGATATTGAGCCATTTTTGTGTGTTTTGTGGTGAATTGAAGTTTGAAGAAGAGAAGGAAGCTTGGAAGATCAAGAGAGGACTAGTAGATCCAGAGGTTCTGAGTTATTTCCATCCCATTCAAGGTAAAAAGCTTCAACCTTGACTTCTCA